AACAGAAGAAATCAGGTGAGGGGCAAATACTTTTTCACAGCTGTGTATTCACCTGCTCCTCCAGCGTTTCTTCAAAAATGAAGGGTATTAATAGTGAGTTTGCTGCAGTAACAGCCTCTACTCTTCTGGGAAGGCTTTACACTCAATGTTGGAACATTGCTGTGAGGATTTGATTGCATCTAGCATCAAAAGAGCATTAGCGATATCAGGTGCTGATGTCGGATGGAAGGGGCGTCTAGAATGGTAATCAGCCCACTGAAAGAGGCGAACAGGCAAAATATTAATATCTATATCCATTTCATACTGAATGTGACATCACTGCACAGATCTGAAGCAGGACTGAGCAAAGACTAAACTACATCACAGGTTTACTTTGTATGAGATGGGAAACAAACTCAGGCTGAACTTGTGTGGTTGTGTTGCCACAATATAATATTTTTGTCTTCAGAATAGAATTTTGCGGTCAGTTTTTGGAAGGGGTGACCACAACATGTAGTCATAATTTATAGCCAATCCTTACAAGACAATGAAGTATTGAATTATATGTTGTAGCCACAGCATATAAAACCCCCTGGCACTCTCTTCACTCTGTACTTTTTTTGGAGTAATTCCACCTTAACTGGAGTAATACTCGCTAATTATGACCAGGCTGTTGGTTTCCAATCATTTGTGACCTTTTCACTGGACTGACTGAGATAAAAACCTTGCGAGATAAAAATGTTCTTGTGTTTTTGTTTTTTATTTGATACTAACTCTGTGCTAAAGTTATAAACATGGGCTATTTTTGTAGCGGGGAAGAGAACGTAGGGTAAAATGTAATTTTAATGTGGTTAAACAAGTTACAGTATAGTGTACTTTTTCTCATGTTACCATAGCAACATCTGTGAATTTTCACAGCAGTTAGATGTTTCTCCAGCTTCGTTTTCCCCATAAAAGTAGCTTATTTCATCATCAGTGTTTGTGATTAGTGAATTCACTCCTATATTGTTTGAATCTCCTCTTGCTGTGTGTATTATAGCAGCATTTAGAAGCAGATAAACATCTCACAGTGAGAGATAGACAGGCTAAAAATTTACAGCTAAGACCCGCAAAGTAAACAATCAGAGACCCCCATATATATTCAATGTGGTTTATTTTTATTTGTAATTCTTTTTTTTTGGCTTTTATCCACAGATTTATTAAAAACATACTATAGGTATAATGCAAATCAATACATTTCTGTTGGGCTACATTCACATTACCAGGCTGAAGTGGCGCAAATCCAATTTTTTGCCCTAATGTGACTCAGATCTGATGTTTTCAGGGCTGTGTGGACACAAAAACTCCAGCAGCACTGCTGTGTCTGATCCACTCAGACCAGCACAACACACACTAACACATCACCACCACGCCAGTGTTATTGCAGTGCTGAGAATGACCCAGCACCCAAATAGTACCTGCTCTGTGAGGGTCCATGGGGGTCCTGACCACTGAAGAACAGGGTAAAAGGGGGCTAACAAAGTATCAGAGAAACAGATGGACTACAGTCTGTAACTGTAGAACTACAAAGTGCACCTATATAGTAAGTGGAGCTGATAAAATGGACAATGAGTGTAGAAACAAGGTCATAATGTTATGCCTCATCGGTGTATGTTGAATTAATTGTAATTTGTATTGATTTAGCAGATGTCTTACCCCTCCATCTGTTACAGTCAACCCCGCCTACACTAAATAAAAAGGTATCTAAAAAGGTAAGTTACTTTACTTCTTTTAAGTAAATTTGTTGAGTAAATTATCTCACTGTATTGGCAGATAATTTTGCTTGTTTTAAGAAATGTGCTTGAAATAAACTAAATTATTTGCTAGTATAGTGAGATCATTTCACTTAAAACAGGTAAACATCTAGAAATAAGCTAAATAATCTTATAATAAGTGCACAACTATCTCAAAATAAGATATATTATATATATATCAACTACAATTAAGATAATTTCACTTCATAAGATACTATTTGTGGCTAAATTGTTGTAAACTGTAGATGCTGGAAACAAACATTGTTTTCATTTGTAGCAGAAATGTGTTGGTTGTTTGTATATTATTATAATCATTTAACAAAATTGCACTCTAGATAAAAGCACACTGTATGCCAAATGTAAATATAAATGTATAGTCTGAAATGTGCTGTATATACATTCAGCATTTTGTAAACACACTTCACTCCAAATGTTTGAACAGCAGTTGCTGCAATTTGCACTGAACTGTGTATGTGTGTATAAGAGAGTGAGCAAACGAGAAGAGAGAGAGAGAGAGAGAGAGAGAGAGAGAGAGAGAGAGAGAGAGAGAGAAAACACTGCATTTCTGCAGGGCAGAATCTGAAAATAGCTGTGAACTGAAGTCGAATCGAGCCCATCATGAACCCAGCCAGGCATGAAACTTGATGTGATCTTTGCCTTTTGTAATAAAAAGAGCAACTATTTTCCAAAAAACCAGACCTGTTTTTCTGTATTTACACCCCTGAATAGCAAGAAATAAACAGAAACACTGTTTTTGATGGTAGTTCTATGGCTAGAACAGTAAAAACATGATTTATAACCTGTTAGTGTGTGATTTAATACATGAATTGTTGCTGTTGCCACACTTGGCAGGCCATGTTAAGAGCTCTGGCCGGGACTTGTTACGCACAAAATTGTATACGCTGCATCTTAAAAACAAATAAAAGTAGCTCTCGTTAATTTCTCATTATAGGTGTAGCCCCCATGAATTCTTGGAGTAATTATGAAAGCTTTTTTTATTTGTGAGTAGTGCTTTGATGAGCTGAACCCTAATCCCCCACCCCCCACCCCCCGAACTGCATGCATGTGTTACAGCTCCGGTGCTTGTATGTTCTACAGTGTAACCAAAACAGCGTTCACAACAAAGTTTAGCTGGTCCTCAAAGATGAATTACATCAGATAATGTCTGTTTAATCTAGAGAAAGCCAAGTAGAAACCTTTCTGGGAAACCCTCCGACCCCCCCTCTGCACGAGTGCAGCGGGGACTCGCCTGGGGTTCTATTCCACGAGCTGTGTTTATTCTGTAGTTATTCAGCATTACAAACAATCAATTAAGTGCCTGATGATTTCCCATTGCAAAGCCTTCACTGCTGCTGCACCCAAAAACGCTCTCACATCTGAGCGAGTATGGGAAATTACGGCTTTTTTTTTCTTTTCTTTTTGCTTCACAGCCAAATGTTCTTCAGTGCCGCTCTCACTCTCTCACTCTCTCACTCAGATTCTTTGTATGGGTCCAAAATTTAGTCATAAAATATAATAGCGCACAAATTTCTCAGATGTTGACTAATGGCTATCATCTGTTCAGCAAAAATACAGCATAAAAACTAATCATTTAACACTATACAAGCACATACACTGTTGTTTTAATACAACACGATGGGCTTGTATGTATGCCCCAGATGTATTATATTATATTTTAAGTAGCTATATTAAATAATAATATGACCCAGGTGTATTAAATAGAAGCAAAAACTTGTATGTTATTATGTGGCTCAGATGTATTATTTCTACTATATACACATCTAATACATGTAAGTACCTCAATTAATTAATAATATGGACCATATGTGTTATACATATATATATATATATCATCTATGTATTATAAATGTTAGCTGCTCTATGTATATATGTAAATTCTTGGGTAATATATTCAATAATATGTGTATGTAAGTACATGTTATAATAACATGGCCCATATGTATTAAATGTAAGTACTTTGCTACATTATTATAATATTTGCACTTGATATATATGCCTAACATATCAGTAAATGTGTATATCCGTATATCTGTAAATGACTATATGTAATATTATGCCATTTTTGCATCATGTATGTGTCAGTTCCCTTGTATTTATTTTTATTCTTATGTATTATATATATTTAAGTACCTATAGGTAATAATATTATGTATTAGTATCATATATATTTATATTTCAAGTAAGTCGTAAGCCTTCAAATCAGGTTCAGTCAGGATTCGGTCAACATGTGACTCAAGTGCAACTCAAATCCTCATCTCTGACATGTAAGTACCAATATGTCTTAATGTCTTATATACACTATATGGCCAAAAGTATGTGGACAACTTACCATCACACTTGTATAAGCATCTCATTCCAAAACTATGGGCATTAATATGGATTTGTCCCCCTTTGTAGCTATAACAGCCTCCACTCTTCTGGGAAGTTTCTACTAGATTTTAGAGAGTCTGTGGGAGTTTTTGCCCATTAATTCAGAAGAGTATTTTTGAGGTCAGACACTGATGTTGGACGAGAGGGCCTGGCTCACAATCTCTGTTCTAGTCCATCCCAAAGGTGTTCAGTGGGGTTAAGGTCAGGGCTCTGTGCAGGCCACTGGAGTTCCTCCACACCAAACTGGTCAGTCCATGTCTTTATGGAGCTGCTTTGTGCACAGGGGCTCAGTCATGCTGGAACAGGAAAGGCTCTTCCCCAAACTGTTCACACAAAGCTGGAAGCAGATAACTGTGTAAATGTCTTTGTGCTGTAGCATCAACATCACCCTTCACTGGAACTGAGGGGCCCAAACCCTGAAAAACAGCCCAGCCCATCATCCCTCCTCCACCAAACTTTACTGTTGGCTCTGCATTCCGGTAGGTAACGTTCTCCTGACATCCACCAAACCCAGAATCATCATCAGACTGACAGATAGAGAAGCTGATTCATCACTCCAGAGAACACGGTTCCACTGCTCCAGAGTCCAGTGGCGGCGCTTTACACCACTCCAGCCAACGTTTGGCATTGCGCATAGTGATCTTATGCTTGTGAGGCAGTGTAGTGAGTGATCCCACTCCAAAAGTGTTGGAATGGTCTACCGCTTCATGGCTGAGCTGTTGTTGCTCCTTGACGTTTCCATTTCACAACAATAATAGCTATCGGTAAATCCCATTTTCTCTAGTTTTCCTACAAACACACACAAAAACACACAAACGCAGCATGTTCTGGACTTACCTGTTCTTATCCCGAAGTCTTGAAATCTCTGACGTCTGCATGAGAAGCTCCTTCTCCAGTTTGTTGGTAGATAAGGAGTGTTCTAACAGCTGAATCTCCAGCCTTGACGTCTGATTCATTACCTTCAATAAGCAGCACAAAACAACAGCAGCACTTTTTCACTGAATAAGAAAAGGTTTTTGTTAACCAAGCACATCTCAGGTTAATGAGTCAGGCGTTTATATGATCAGCTACTAACATGTCTAAACACTTGAGCAACCCAAGAAGGGAGCGACTAATGAATACGGGAATGGATCCAGAGAACAGGCAGATTCAAAACAAATGACCTTTGGAACAGCTATTTATGCTAATCTCTGTTATTAATGCTAATCTTTGTGATTTATGCTAATCTTGGTTACCTTGGCCTCGACTACATTGAGCTTCCTAGTTTGCTCAGCAGTTTGAGTGAGCAGATTGGTGCCGATCTCCAGCATAGTGGCTGTCTGGTTGTGGACTGCATTAGCTTGGAAATGCACCATCTCAGACTTTATGTTCTCCTGGATGTAGTTCTCCAGCTGGTGTGAAAATAGACAGAAAAAAAAACAGTGATATTAGCCACACATTATAAACAGAAAACAATAAACTGCATTCGGTTTACTTGACTAACCCCTTTTTTTCACAGCAGGCATAAAATGCAATTTCTGGCAGTTTTAGAGTTCCTTAGCTGAGCTATGAATTCTTTTCTTCAGTAATATTGACGGACATATTTTGAAGTGACAATAATTTAACACATCTTCTACAGAGAACACGTTAAACATGACATTTTGCAATACATTTTTGGGAAAAGTTTCTATTTATTTGCCTTTTCATAGACCACATTCTGTTTATTTTCTCCCAGTATGTTAAATTCAGCACATAAACAGTAATTGTGCATTAAAATGTGCAGAATTGTGGACAAACTTTTCCACACACCCATAGACTTCCATTCATTTTTGGAGACTCTGCCAAACCTTAACCAGAACTCTACTAGCCTTAAGCCTGACCCTGATCTTTACTCTCATTTTAAAATGTAATAATATACGTTGTGGGGACCGGCTCATGGTCTCCACAAGGAACAAAGGTCCCCACAACGTGAGTGTATGAACAGGTTTTGGTCCCTGCAATGTGGCATAAACTTGGTACATACAAACACACACACACTCACATATATATATATATATATATATATATATATATATATATATATATATATATATATATATACACATACCTAAATAAACAAAGCAAATGAATGTGCGAAATAAAATTGTACAGCCTGTAACAAAAACATAACTTTGTTTTTGATGCTATATACTTATTCATTATTTAAATGTGTATATTTATGCAGTCTTTGAGTTGTCAAGGCTCCATGTCATGTCAGGTATATAACTGGTAACTTTACAAAAGAACCCTTAAGGAACTTATTTTAAGGGTGCGTATGTGTGTGTGTGTGTGTATATATATATATATATATATATATATATATATGTATATATATATTTATCGCTGCTGTCAGAATAAAACCTTGTATCTCCATTTTTGTCTTTTTTCAGTTTTTGACATAATGTCGACTTTTACATCGTGTGCAAATTTCATGATGAATGAACCGAAAGAAACGGCCCAAAATGGCTTGGTAAAAAAGTCTGGTTCCATTGACTTACATTAAAAGTAAAGTATGTTTTTTCCTTCTCCTGTAAAGTTACCATTTTGGAGATATGAGGTTTTGTTCTGACAGCAGCGATATATATAACTTCATTTCCAAAAAAGTTGGGATGCTGTGAAAAATGCAAATAAAAACAAAATGCAATGATGTGCAAATCATTTAAACCCTATATTTCATTGAAAATGCTAAATATACATCCCATATCTCCATTTTGTCATTTTTGACATAATATAAATATACATATATATGGAATGAAGTTACAGTAATCTGTCTGTCTAGCCATGAGCATTAGAATGAACAACAGACCTAGAAGAATGTTGTTGCCGTGGCCATATACACAGTGGAATGTAATAACGTTTTTCCAGAGTCTTGATGCAACATACAAGCACGCCTCTGTTTATGAGTCCACAGTACTTATGAGAAACTGAATAAGACACAGACTATACATTAAACAGTTAAACAACACAGTGCAGCACGATAAATACACAACAATGCATAGCTGGACTCAAAACCCAACAATAAATGCAGTACAACAAACACGCAGGACAAGACAGTTTGAGACTAGTATAAGAATGTGGGTTGTGCAGTTTTTTAGTTTTTACTGTTTCCACTCTCCCACACTTTCAGCTCCTCAAAGAATCTGCAGACACACCTCCAAAGTTCAGTCTTAGAAGCTGGTTGATCATTTTCTGAAGTAATCAAACACATTCAGTGATGCTGAGGTCTGGACTCTGGGGTGGTCAGTCCATTGTTCAGCTTCTTTGTTTGATGTGTCCGTCTCCTTTTCTCAGTGAGGTTCTTCTTGACAGCTACACATCCTTTCAGACCCACAGCGCTGAGTCGTCTTCTCACAGTGGAAGGATGGACAGAAACACCTATGGATGTTTTCAGATCTGAAGCAGCTTGATTTTCTCCTCTCTCTCAGAGATGAAAGCTTTAAGTCCTGTTTATCTGATGGGGACAGTTGGTGTCTACCAGGTCTTCCAGGTGGTTGTTAGGAGACTCATTTTCTCTGTAGTTTTTAATCAGTTTTTGAAACTTCAGTTTTGGAAACTTTTTTTCAGTTGTTTTTCTTTCTAATTTCCTCAGAAATTGCTTAACACCCCAGTGTCACTGCTGGACTGAGAATCATTTGATGACCAACACAAACTGTGCAGCAGCAGATGAGCTATCGTCTCTGACTTTACATCTATGAGGTGGACCAACAAGGTAGGAGTGTCTAATAGAGTGGACATTGAGTGGACAACTCCACTCCAGTAGCACTGCTGAGTCTGATCCACTCAGACCAGCACAACACACACAAACCCACCACCACCACATCAGTGTTACTGCAGTGCTGAAAATGATCCACCACCCAAATAGTACCTGCTCTATGGGGGTCCTGACCACTGAAGAACAGGCTAACAAAGTATCAGAGAAACAGATGGACTACAGTCTGTAACTGTAGAACTACAAAGTGCTCCTGTACGGTCAGTGGAGCTGATAAAATGGACAGTGAGTGTAGAAACACCAATATTGCATCCAGACCGGGGGGGGCTCAAGTAAATTTTTATTTGTTTAACACATTTTCACCTCTACATAATGCCATACATTTTATTTTACAAGTTTTGATGTCTTAACTGTCGTTCAAAAAAGCGTAAAGTAATAAAACATAATAAAATTCCATGAGTCGTTGTCCAAACTTTTGAGTGGTACTGTAAATAACTCTGCAAAATGAAGTTATGAGAATATGTTATGTAAAAGGTCTAAAGGTTCAGAAAACCACAAGAAATATTTGGTATTACTGAAAACTACCCAGTGTCATCCTGGATCACCGGCTTCCCGAAGCTTTCCATCGCACGTTCATTAACAGATGTTATGTGCTAAAAGAGCCCATTTAGCTGAAGTCTTTGAGGGCTACAAGTGAACTGTGAACGATTTCTGCTCAGACAACCTGAACTAAACCTCCGTTTATCTTGGCAGTGACGCACTAAAAGCTTCCAGCACCCCTCAGCAGTGATGGGTAGGAACCGGGATGTTTATTATCAAACATGGCCTTGTTCCCCTGCCAAGTGGCTCCAAGGCCCAAGGGAGACGGGTCCAGTGCCAGCCAAAGGTGGACCACGCTGACCTTCTTAGTCCTAATGTACTCCAAACTCCAAAACAAATATGGCTTCCTCGAGACACTCAAGAGAGCGACTAATGAAAGATAAATTTATCACAATCGAAATAAACAGCGCAGCCTCCTGAGAGAGCTGTGCTCCTGACGTGGTCTGTCAGAGCTTCCTTTCGAGACGAGAACTTTTTACTGAAACTGTCCCTCACTTCCGTGGAGAGTCCAGACGTGTGAAGAATGTACCGTTGGTTAGATTCAGCATCAGCACTCTTAAAAAAAAAGGTTCTATATTTGGAGCTAAAAACTTCCATTAAGGTTGGGACAGTATGTGAAATACAAGTAAAATCAGAAAGCAGTGATTGGTGTACCAAAGTCAAGACTTAATTGGCTTAGGAGCTCTTTCATCACCCAGTCAGCTGTGACGCTTAATCAAAAGAGCAGACTGTAGAGCACGGCTGTCGGAAGAAAACCTCGTATCTCCATTTTTGTCGTTTTTCAGTTTTTGACATAATTTGAAAATGCCTGTTGGACTTTACATTGTGTGTAAAGTTCATGATGAATGGATCAAAAGAAACGACCCAAAATGACTTGGAAAAATTCTGGTTCCATTGACTTACATTAAAAGTAAAGTAGGTTTTTTCCTTCTCCTGTTAAGTTACCATTTTGGAGATACGAGGTTTCCTTCCGACAACAGCGATAGATAAGAGCATATCACTGCTGTCGGAACAAAAGCTTGTATCTCCATTTTTGTCACTTTTCACTTTTTGACAGAATTTGAAAATGCTTGTTTCTCTTTATATAGTGTGTAAATTGATGAATGGGCCAAAAAAATGGCTCAAAATAACTTGGAAAAAACTCTGGTTCCATTGACTTACATTAAAAGTAAAGTAGGTTTTTTCCTTCTCTTGTAAAGTTACCATTTTGGAGATACAAGGTTTTGTTCAGACAGCAGTGATATGTAGCAATATACACTGTAAAACATAACAATTGCAGTAATTTAATTCTTTTTGGTTTACTTCACTGATCTGTTAAACATCCCAATGCAAATCTAGTAATGTACTATTTCTTGTATAATCCTTAGTTACTGAGATAAATCTAGTAATCTAGGAGAGTTCCATTGTTGCGATGTAAAGTCAATCAGAGTGGTTTGACATTAAATGGTTAATTGTAGAGAAACTTATAGGCTCCAAATTCTTATCTACAGTGGTGGTGATAGGAACCAGGAGTCGCCATGACCACAACACAAATATAGACATTTTATTTACTATCCAGAACCACCAGTGAACCTACACGAGTCTTCTGAGTTTATATGGAATGTTGATGATGGAAAATAGTGAAAAATCTGAAAAAATATGTTTTCTTAGGGGACTATTTTAGGGACTAACACCCTGTACGTATCCCTCCACCATTAATGGATTTAAATAAATAGATTAACAGGATGTTTTAGGCCAAAACCCTGTCACAAAACTGTCATAAAAGTATGTCTCAGACATCAGGCAGTGAATTCATAACCATTTCATGTAGTAACTTTCTGTGAGGGAGCTTTCAGAGGTGGACGTCTGGTTCTATGCACATTAGTACTTTTGTGTGGTAGCATACCTCATGCTAAAATATGATGTTTGGATGCCTTTTACATGTTTTTGTTGTTCTCACCATGATGATGTGTTGTGTTCAGCCTACAGCAGTTTCTGAAGAGAAAGGCTAAGATGCTTGAAGCAACTTGACTTCTTAGAAATGAGCGACTCATATGAAACAATCTATTTAAAATAATGTAGTTG